GGCTCAATCCAGTCGTTGTCAATCATAAGCCAGGTCCAGTCTTTGGCCAAAGAATCCCCAAGCATCCACACCACACATCGCCAAAAGCCGGAGGAACTGGGAGCGGGGCAAAAAGCGATCTAAGATCTTCTAACAGTCGCGAGTAGAGCGAGTTGGAGTCGCATCTGTCGGATTTGCATTACCGCGTCCGACTTGCCTTGAAATTATGTGAAATTGATCAATTTCAACGTTGCCCGTTCGCCGTGGCCACTTTCCGCGAGCTCTGGGTGCAGAACATTTAATGTAAAATGTCAATCAAAAATCGCACAGAATGGAAAAGTAACTTTGAAAATTTAATTAGAAATGTGTACACGTCTCGGGCACTGCGGCCGCCATGGGAAAATGGGAAATCTTCTCAATTGAAGCGATGAGAACCGAACGGCAGAATTGCAGAAATCCAAGGAAAGTGTCAGGAGTTGCACTAATCGTTAGTGTGTGTGTTTGAAGAAAATTCCTGGAACCGATTCGAAAATATTTTATAATAATAAGCGGATGTCAGAAGAGCATTGCATAAAACAAGTTGATCAGCGCATATTTAAATAAATAGGTTAGCTAGGGACAAAATATTGACAAGAACTAAAAAGCTAACAAACAGTTTATGTATTTTGTTCAGAGAATACTCCAGATTTACAATTGAAGATGTGTTTTAAGATAAATCCAGGAAATAGATATTGTTACCTGTCATATTTTAAAAGCTTGATTAACGAAATCAAGAAAAAAAAGATATATTTAGACATTCTTAGAAATTTCCCTACATTCGAAGTAAGGGAACCTTTTGTCATTCCCTGAATTTCTATCTCCCCCCGAATATTGTCGTGACTTTCCATTGAGCTCAACTAACATGGATTTATGAAGACATAACTCACAGTTTAATGACTATAAATTCATTCCCGAGTACGAAATTTTCGTTGGAAATTGTAAAAGAGGCGGCTTAAATAATAATAATAATAGTTGTAAAATAATCGTAAAGCGAATGGTGAGAAAAGCGGAGTTTTTAGCTGTTGTAATCAAAGTATGAACCTGGTTTTAATAGCACTGGTGGTCGGTCGACTTCAAAAAGGGTTTAGTTTTGTATATTAATTTGTCAACCACAAAAAGCCAAAATAAAAGCAGAAAACAAACAGAAAAAACCAAGCCATGAGTACGAGTGGAGTTATCAATGGGCGGTGGCCACACATGCTAATTTAGTTATGATGAACACTTTTTTTTTTTTTCCATATATCATAATTCTTGTTTGTTTCGAGATGGTTCGGTTTAATGCTTCATTTCTTTGAATTTCATAATTACACGGCTTTGACCGCTCAACGACGGCTGGTAACTGTTTTTGTCATTGTCAGCTTTTCTTGAATGAACTTCGGCTTTGGGCCAACTGGTTTTTGGTTTTTTGGTTTTTTAGCTTTTTAGCTTTTTAGTTTTGTGTCTTTTGTTTTTGTGGCCAAGAGCTTGGCTTCTTGCCTTAATTAATTATTGTTGTATAATTAGTAGTTGGTCGGGGGCATAATAATTCAACAGAAGTCTGTCTGACTGGCTGGCTGACTGACCACTAAGCGATTCATTCATGGCTCCTCGCATTTTCACACATTTCCGGTACAGTTGGCCGCAAAAGTTGGCCACCATTTGGATGGAAAGACCGCCCCAAGTTGGCAAAAGGGCGTTGTGGGCAATGTCAATCAATTGGTTCGCCGACTTGGTTGGCTGATTTCTTGCCCAGATCCAGATCCAGATCCCCCCAGTTTAATTCACTCAGTTTCAGCTTCAGTTTCAGTTGCCAGCTTCTTCGGCTGCCGAGTCTCAAGTCTCGAATCTCGAATCTCGAGACTCGAGTCTCGAGCCAAGCAAAAATGGCAGCTGACTGACAGACAGATCGAAAACGTTGGTTCAGTTCGGTTTGCCATAGTTTGGCTTGACTTGGTTTGGTTGGACCCTGGGCTCTTTTGACTGCTTTGGCCTGGCCAACAGCAGCCACGGCAGCAACAACTACCAACTACCGACTGAAACTGTGGCAGCAAACTGAAATTGTGCCGAGGACTGGTCGCCGAATTGTTTGATTTTGGAGACTGCAACGTGACACGATTAAAATTAAAGCATTTTATTTAAAAAACTTCGATTAAAAACCAAATAGTATTTTAATGCATCATTCAAAAAATTCTTCATAAAAATATTTTGCTTCTTAATTTTGTAATTTTGTAAAGCAAAACATTGATGGCATTTTGTTGGTTTTAACTATTTAATTTGACATTTCGTGATTTTATTTCTAAAAGCTGACCGCTACTTTAATAGAAATGAAGTAATTAAATAATTAAATTAAATTAATTTCAAACTTTAATGTTGTTTTCTGTGTAATTATAATATAGTTTCTAAATTTGTAAAATTTAATGGAGCAGTGTTAATGCATTATAAAATTTGCGAGTTTGGATTGAGCTACTCTTGAATAAAACAATTACATTATATGATTTAAAACAAATATAAATAACAAATTATAAATTAAATTATCAATAAATTAATACAAAACAATAAACTTTTTATTGTTCAGTTTCAGTTGATATGTTTCTTTTCTGAGATTACCTGACTAATTCTTTAAAAAACAAGTGGAAAATATAAAAAACCCTACAATTTTTGGCCAGGAAGTGCCGTCTCTAAAAATCGGATCTGCAACTGGAACTGGAAATTGGGTCCAGGCTGAGGAGGTGGGGCTGCCACGATTCGCAGCCAGCCAAATCGATCGAACTGCCTTCATTAAACAGAAAAAACAGAAAAGAGAGCGAGCGAAAAGTACGGAAGAAATACAAAAAGGTAGACCTGGGCCACCTCTGGCCATCCCTTTCTGTCTTAATAACTCCTTTCCTGCCGCCGATTTTGCAGCAAAAGTAGCAGCGGCAGCAGCAGCAACAGCAGCCGTGATCTCCATTCTGCGATTTTTTTTACTTTATTTTTTTGTATTTTTCGATAGCCGTCGCTCCATTGCTCCATTAATTTCCATGTTGGCCACAAGTTGACTTCTGTTCGCTGATCGCTCGGCCCTCTGTTTATCCTTCTCTTTCGCTCTTTTGCCTGAATATATCTGGACTATAGCTTTATATATTTTTTTTGTATTTTCGCAAATTGCCAGGCACGCAATTTGCGCTTGAATGGAAAATAAAAACAAAATCTGCAACAAATTGGAAGCCAATAATCAAATGTCAGTCAGGATCCGCCTGGCCAGCCCCCCGCGATCTCTTTTGGGGTTCTGTCAGTCAGTCCGTCAGTTAGCCATTCGCTCAGTCAGTCATTCAGTCAGTCCTTCACTCTGTCATTCAGTCAGGGCGGTCAGTGAAATCGGTTTTGCCGTGGCTCTAACTCCAGGGCTCATTACTCAATCCCCGGCCAAAGATCCCTTTCGACTTTGGTTCTGCACTGTCGGAAAACGTGATTTTTCAATGATTTCTAATTGATTAAATGGATACAAACCCTTTTGGAAAAATAATATGGAAAATATTATATTTATAACTCTTATTTAATTAAGAGTAAAGCTCATAAAAGTGAAGATAAATGGAACTCAAGCAAGTACATACATATGACTGTATTCATAATTATTTGAGTACTTGTAGGCAATGTTAAATCATAATAAAATTATACTTTAAATTTTAATAACAAATTATCACAAATTTAAAAGACTGTATCATTCTTTTTTTAAGTATACAGTCTTGTAATGGACTTCTTAACATTTTTGGCAGTCTTCAAACTCTCGAAATGAAAAGTCAATTTTTTTCTAATAATTCTCCAAAAGCCATACCCATTTTTTCTCCGTGATGCAGGGTTCAATCTGGATCTGGGACTTCAACTTGTCGGCTTGTCCGATCCGCCTGTCTATTCATTTGAGCGTTTTTCGAATTCGATTTTGATTTGATTTCAGCTTCGGTTTCACGCTTGGCCTGCCTTATACTTTAATTAGTTTGGCAAATTAATTCCCAGTATTCCCCGAAAGAGAATCGAGAAAAAGTAATGAACAAAAAAATAACCGAACCAAACAACAAACGATTAATACCGAATTCCAATTGCGATGCCGATATTGTTTATTGGTTCCACATTACGCCCGCCGCGTATAATTAACAATAAAAAATTTCAAACACATTTTGACACAATTTTAATAGTCAATAAAACTCAATGGAGAGCGTGAAAAGGGGGTGGGTGTTGAAGGCAGGGGGCCCCAAATGCCCCATCAAGTTGAACAACAATGAAATGACATTTTCGCCGCTGATGTGGCCATTGTTCGACTTTGTTTGCGGGTTATTGTTGTTGACAAATCGATAAACAGCTCAATTAGCATTTTTGATGCTCAATCGTTAAGGAACCGCTCAACTTACCCTTCTTCTGCCGACTGACTGACAACTGTATGGCAATCATAAATCAAACCATAAAAAATATATCAGGCATTCGGTTCAATAATCGATTTGTATGCGTTGCCCGTCGCGCCGCACAATTATGCAAAATGAGCTGTCAAACGAGTGAGGCTTTATACCCTTCCCCCTTGCAATTTATTCTACAAAAAAGGGAAAAGCCACATGTTTATTACTTGTTCGATCTCATGTTAAATTAATATTGATCTAACTAAGCCAGACAGGTGGACTGAAGTCAGAGAATGTTGTACAAGAGTCAGCTATATTCATAACATATCAATCATCTAGATATTATTTAAAACACATTTCATAGAAGTATTTTAACATTTCTTGTAAAATATTAGTTCTACTACTAATTCTTATGCGTATTCAAGTTTAATTATTTTTAAGTAAGATACCAAACATATCTAAGCATTAAAAAAACCATAAATAGTACTACATAGTAATAAACATTTAAAATAACAGCGAAGAAAGCAAAGTGTGCTATGTTTTTATATATTTTGTGACAGACAGACTTAAACAAACGCTGAAAAAACACATTTTCACAAACATTTTTTAAAGACTGAAAACAAAAATCAGTACCAAATTTAAAATATATTTATCTATATAAATCCCTCAATGGACGGAGATCAAATCGAAAAGACCAGCAGTGATCAGGAGTTGGGATATAGTCGATGCCCTCGCAGTTGCGTTCATTATGCCACAATCGCGGATTTTCTAACCAGTCTTAATTTAAATGACACCAATTTGGGCTCGGTTCAAAATCTTAGGAGTCTGAGCTTAGAAGACTACCTTAAAACTGTGCGATGTGCGAAAAACCAGCAAGGGGATAATGATATTAACCTCGAAAACAGGAAAATGTGAAGAAACCGATACGAGATATCAGCAGGCTTAAACAGAAGGATTCAAATTGTCCCAACAAACGTAAGCTAAAATTATTACTCCCAAAAAATGTGTAACTAAAATAATACTTCTTGACATTTTCTACATAATTATGATTAAAATTATAAATATTTTATCAAAGTTCTTATAAAAGTAATTTATAGAACAAATATCTTTTTTTGTTTATGTCAGAAAAAATTGTTGTTTTTTTTTATTGGATCACGTGTGCTTTATAAAAATGCAATTTCCGAAAGACGTAAAAAATAATTTTACTTTAAAGGCTAAATTTTTAGTTAATTTTCGAGTTCAATTTGCTAGACAAATTTGTTTATAAATTGCTCTTTCACATGGCCAACTGCCATCCGATTCGAACTCTAACTTATTTCAATAATTCAATCACGTGGTATCGTATCGAATAATTGAATAAGTCATCGTGTCGAGCGACACAAATTTCATTTCAATACGCAGAACTTTTAACGAACGAATCGGGCCTCAAAGGCGATCGCCGATGATTGAACGCTCGAGGAAAGAGTTGAGTTGGCACAAGGGGGTTAAGGTGGACTCTTGGAGGGGGGTGGGGCTAAAGCGGGGACTGAGGAGATTTGAGACGGAACCGCCAAATGGCAACGTGAGTGATTGTCGCAAAAGCTCAAAGGCGACAAGAGCTCTTCGAATTGTACTGATTTTTATTTATTTTATGTTTGAACCGAAACGCTTACGGAATCCCAAATGAAATGCGACTGCGCTTTTTTTTTTATATAAATAGGGGGAACCCGATACATCGGGGCTTGGAATAAACCCCCCTCCCTGAAATTCCCCTTCGATTGCCAATTGGTGTGGGAAAAATGCGGCTGTGGTAACAGGCGTGGCGATCTTCCATTAACATGTTCACCTCGTGGCGATTTCAATCGAATTTTAATTGCCCGAAAGTGGATCTAACCGATTGGGAAGAGATTGCTCGGGGTTTTTGGGTTTTTTTTTTGGTAGCAAAGTTATAAAGGGGAAACTCAAATTTGCAGAGGATCGCTAGTAACAATTCTCTAGTTTTTCATTAAATAAAAGAAAAGTTAAATGTAGCTTTCTCACTTTTAGGGCTATAGAAATATATAACTAAAAAAAGAAATAATATTTGGCTTAAGCTGGTTGGTATATTTTTGTTTTTAGTCAAATCTTATGTTATCAATTAAATTTAAAGTCATTGCAGTCGTCGGGATTCTTTTTACTTTATATAAAAAAAAAATCATTTAAATACTCCCTAAAATGTAAAATATATAAGAAATTATTTAAATACTTCTTAAAGCAAAGAACAATTTAAGAAGTCTGAGCGAAATCCCTTTCCTTATTCACAAACTAAAAGCCAAAGAATACCTGTGAATATCACGTAAACTAGGTCGATAACTGACCTACAGAACGCAAAGGAATGCAACCGATGGCAGGGGGCAAAGGAAAGGTATATAAGATCGTATCGATCGTCGCCCTTCGATAGATTTTTGACATATTTTTGATCGGCACATTGAACTGGCCGCTTTGGCCAAGGGCCATTCACACGCTCCTTTGGCCGTGGGATAAAAATGCAGCGGATCTCCATCGAATCTGTTCGGCTTGCCAGCCCAAAAATTGTGTGCCGAAGAGCAGAAGAGTTAAACAAATCAATACGAAAACGATGCAAATGGCAAAAGGCATGTCAACAATGCTGCCGAGTAATTGGCAGTGGTCGGCTGATGACGCTCGCTCTGATGTTGATGATTGCGCATCGCAAAGGCTACGGCGACTTCAACCTCAACCTGAACCTCAAACTGAAACTGAAGCTGAAGCTCAAGCTCAAGCTGAACCTGGATGTGATTGCGATCGCAGGAACTCCTCATCGAGCCGCCAAAGTGCAGCTAAACATCTGGAGCAGGCAGTGCCGAACGCAGTCGAATCGAGCAGCTCCACCCATTGCCATCGCCTGCCCTCTGAACGCCGATCACTGATCTTTGCCGCCGCGGACACTGAGCGAAAATTTCACATTTTTTGAATATTTTTAAGCTTTGGAAATGTAATTCTCCATAACAGATTGTAAAGCTGCGCAGCAAAACAATTGGTGCATCCTCCAGATAAAATCACATGGGTTTAGAAATACCTTTATCTTAAAGTATTCAACAATACATTTAAAATCTGAAAATGGGACACCTTAAAGACACCTTTATAAGTGATATTTTTATTTTCCTGGCACCCCCAATAAAAGCTTTGAAATACATCACTAATACATTCTGAAATACATCACTAATGCTTAAAGTTGCTTTCAAAATATATTTTATAATGATTGATTAGCATTTATTAAGAAGAGTGAACTGATTCTCCCTATGTTTCTTACAGATTTGTTAACTTTGAAAACAGAGAGCTCGCTATGAAATGTACATAATATATAGCTATTATATAAGTTGAAGTTACAAGTCTTAAAAAACATTTTTTGTTCCTTACAATTTTGTCAATTTCTCAACATTCACCATATGGTTTTGTTCCGTGTGTAGAAAGCAGCGGCTTTGATCTGTCACCGCTCGCCAATCGAATCACGGCAGACGCGAGCGGCGGCAGATAAAATTATTGAAATTACATTGGCAAGACGCCGTCGATCAGGCAGAGCGTACCGCACAACGGGGACACAGGGATGGACCAGGAGGGGATGTATGTACATATATGTATGCCCAGGGAACAGGGCTAGCAAACAGCTGCAACAAACGCTGCCGCGAAACACGATCGCCAACACTTACAGCGCCGCGAGTTGGCAATAATTATCGCTTTTAGTCCCATCCCCGCCTGTCAATGTAATTCGAAAAATGTCGTCAGTGTCGCCCAGTGCCGGCGTAGTAGCTCATCATCAGTGCTCTTTGGGATCCCGGTATCCTGGATCCCCGATTCCCCGATTCTCTGATTCTCCGATTCCAATTCCGATCGCAATACCAAGCACCCAGATTGGACCTGTGATTTCTCCCATTCGATGATTTCGTGCCAGTTGCCAGTTGGCAGTGCACTGGCAGCAGCGCTCGTTGTTTTTAAAATGTAATCATCATTAAAATATTTATGGGTTATATCTCTCGCTCTGGCCAACGGACCTTCAACCGGAGGACTGGACTGGTCGGCTTGTAATGACCATACATAGCAATTGGTTCTCACGTTCGGGCCACAAAAAAAGCGGGGAAAAAAAGAACAGAAACGCGTTGCCAATTTGGCGTCATCGTTCAACTTCAGCTTCAGCTTCAACTTCAAGTTGAAGCTAAAGTTGCAGTTAAAGCCGCGATTCCAGCTGAATCGGCTGCTGAAGTTGTCATTGTCATTGCCATCGTCACCTGTGTCTGCATTTCGGATTTTCATTTTATTTTTATGTCTGGCAGCTGCTGAAGGTATCTGGATATCTGAATATCTGGAGGACGAGCATCTGTGCGAAGATCGATTGCGATTTGGGGATTTACTCAGTATTTTATTCATTTGGTTTGAGTCGGTTTACTAATTATATGTTACTTAGTGTATTTAAATCTTTACATGACTCCTTGCATATGCAATTTGAAATACCTTGATTAATCTTTAATCTTTTAGGTCAGTTTAAACAATTAGTTCTTATTTATCATTATGCTTTGGGCTTTAAGTAAATTAAAAGAAGTTAAATGAAATTAAAGTGTCATAGGTCTTAATTCAATTATTCCTATTTATGGCTTGTAAAATAGATTTTGTCTTGCTAAACATTATTTGTCAATTATAGAATATTTTGTCTGTTAACTATTAACAATTTTATGTAAATATTTCATTAAATAGAACTTATTGTCTTCTGGAAAAAAATAATTTAATGGTTTTCTTGCACAAGCTTGTATTTAATATTTTCAAACGTATACTATTCTTAAAGAACTTTAACTTTTGACCTTTTATCAGACCAAATACGACCTCCCCATCCTGAAGTTCATGATTAAAAATATACAGTAGCTTCGATTTGTGTGTTCGTCGAGGCGTGATCACAGTCACTGCCACTGTCACGGGCATGAGAACTGTGAACGGGAATCTTAGGATCGACGTGGTCCACCCCTAAAAAGTGGCCACTTTGATGGCTGTCTTGTCATTTTTTCCCTGTTTTTTTTTATTTATTTATTATTATTATTATTATTTTTTTTTTTTTTGAATGGAGGAGTCTTGAATGTTGCTGTTGTCGTTTATCAATTATGACAAATCTTTGCGCATGCGTGGCCAGCGGCGTCGTCAACGCAGCTATTTATAAACTTGGTAAAACTCCGGCCCCCCAAATGCCCCCTATATCATCATTTCAGAGCCCGACTCTTCCTCATGTGAATGTCTGTCTGTCTGTCCCATTCCGTGTTTCATTTTAATTTGTAATTATTTCTTCAGCTTTTTTGCGGCTGCCTCCCCTCTCGTATTATTTCAAACGATTCCGTGGTCGTTGTAGACTTTTCTCGAATGCCTTTGCATGTCGGGTTTTTTCGAACTTCATTTGCGCTTCGGTTCGGTGACAAATAAATTAAGTGGCAGCCTCAACCAGAGAGCGGGAAAACAAGAGGCGAAACCCAAGAAAATGAAGACTGCCCCGGGGCTCTGCCCAGTATTACAACAATATCATCCAGTCAGCAGCAACAAGTGGCTATCCTTGGGAGTTGGGTAGACTCGACGAGGAGATACCATAGGGTTTGAAGAAGTTTCAGAATCGCATTTTAAGCCTGTTCCCTTTCTTGTTTTATAGTTATGTGAAAGCAAAATTCTACATGGACTTATCATGTCCTCATCATATTCTGATCCAATCGGCTTTTCATTTTCTGAAAATTTCAAATTTGTTCCCTTTTTCTTGATCAAACTATCCATGCTTTTAATTTCGAGTTCTACTTACACCCATCAGTCCCTACAGAGTTCAGTATACACAACCATGTCGGGGAAATAACACACAGGAAATTGCCTTCTGAACAATACAAAAAAAAACAAATTTAGTTTTAAGCATAAAGTGTTAAATAACATTTTTGAAAAAAACACGTACTTAATAAACAAAACCCAACAAACAAATGCTT